CCATGCACAAATTAGAGTATTTTTTTTTCTCATATAAACATTCAAACAAATCTAAGCAATGTTTTTTTATAATATAAATGTTATAGCATAATTACCAACAAACTTCTTAATCAAGTTGGAAAATATTTGCAACAAATGAAAAACTTCAGAAAGTCAGATATATAAGAGTGAGCCTTGTCAAACAGAGTTTTTATTGTTGAAAAAGGCCAATTATCAGGATATTTGTATGTAATTGTCCATATTATCAATATCGATACAGGGACATATCAATTATGCATTCAATGCAATAACCTTATCTGTTTAATTTAATTCATTACATAAGTATATTATTTACCATTTCTTTTAGCAAATGCAATTCTTTATTCCCAATAGAATACATTTGTAAAAGTATTGATGTTCGCACGCTAATATGATCTTTTAAAACTCGAAACTTGAAACTTGTTTATTTGACGAAACGCCTATTTTTACTCCATGACCTTGTACACAATAATGATAAGTAATAAAAAAATCATCTGCAATACAATTTACATATCAAACGATATATTATTAAGACATACATGATTATGCGATCTTTAAAAAAATGAAATGCAATTCTGTGAAAATAAAAATAATCTGTTAAATTACAACAATAAAAAATAAAAAATCTAAAATGTTGGTTTAGAAAACTCAAAATAAAATATTTGGTGTACTCCCTACCACAAAACGAAATGTAGGAAGACACAAATAAACATAAATTTACTGCTTAAAAATATGGAATAGGGAAACTTAAAACGACAAAGACTCTCCGGAGAACGTCACTCCAAAGCTTTGTATACCACTTTTCGAGTACTGTATTTTAGATTATCTTAAAATTATCTAGTTAAAATATTTATATAGGATTTTAAAGGAATTATATTAAATTATATCAACATAAATGTTGCTACAAAAACAAAAACAAAACAAACAGCAACAAAAAAAATCACAAAAAACAAGGGGGTCATTGGCCCCAAAGCACTCACCTGAAACATACTGTTATTTGTGTAAGGGCCAATTTTAACAATAGGGGCAAACTTTGAACAGCTATGGTAGAGGACCTATAGATGATATTACATGCCAATTATCTAAACTTTAACCAGTGTACAGACAAGAAGAACTTGATAGAGTTCCACAACACAATGTTTCATGCCAAATGTCTAACCTCATGTCTAACCTCTAGCCTGTCTAATTTCAGTGGATATTTATTAAGCTTTTACTATATACATACAAGGAAAACCTATGGCACCCGGGCAGGGCCAATTTTGACCCCAGGGCTATAATTTTAACAGTCTTGGTACAGGTCCACTACACAATGAATCATACCAAATATCTAACCTCTAGCCTTTGTCAATCTTGAGGAGAAGATTTTTTAAATATTTACTATATGTATACATGTAAGGAAAATCTTTGATTCCCCAGGTCGGGGTTAATTTTGACACTAGGGGTAAAATTTGAACGAGACGCTCTATAGATGATATAATTGACCAAATATCTAAGCTCTTAGCCTTCCTTGTGCATTCACAATGACGATTTTTTAAGTTTTTACTATATACATAATCATAAGGAAAACCCATGACCCTGGGGGAGAGCCAATTTAGACCCCAGGACTATAATTTGAACAATCTTTGTAGAGTTCCGCTACACATTGATGCATGCCAAAGATCTAACCTCTAGCCTTTGTCAATTCAGAGCAGAAGATTTTTAAGTTTTTACTATATATATTCATATAAGAAAAAACTATGACCCCGAGGCGGGGCCTATTTTGACACTAGGGGCAGAACTTGAACAACTTTCGTAGAGGACCGATAGATGACATTATTACATACCAAATATCTAAGCACTAAGTCTTGTACCTTCGGACAAGAAGATTTTTTAAAAGTTTTTACTATATATACATATAAAGAAAAACTATGACCCCCGAGAGGGGCTTATTTTGACCCCCAATGCTATAATTTGGACAATCTTGGTAGAGTTTCACGACACAATGCTTTATGCCGAATATCTTACCTCTAGCCTTTGTCAACTTTGAGGAGATAATTATTTCAGTTTTTATTATATATATACATATAAGGAAAACATATGACCCCCGGGGCGGGCCAATTTTGACACTAGGGACACAATTTGAACAACCTTCGTAGAGGACCGATAGATGATTCATATACCAAATACATGTATCAAAACTCTGGACCTTGTACTTTCAGACAAAAAGATTTTAAATTTGCATTTTTGAAACTCCTTTTCTGGCCCCGTGACCTACTTATGCAACAATATATAGTTGTTAATAATAAGTTTTCAAGTTCTTATTAAAACTGTCTGAAGATAAGAGTTCACGAGGACTGTTCAATGGAATCTCGTTCAAACGGTACTGAAACTTCTTTCTTTTATTAAATGGTATTTGATAACATCCTTTTTAAGTATGTGTTGAGCATAGATCACGCTTTGGTCGTTGTTCTTCAAGAAGTTCGATGGGGTTACCTGGAGCGTTTCCAACTGAACAACTGTTCATGAATGTTAAAATTTTGAGCGTGATTCAAATTTTCACAAGTTACCAGTGCAGATCGTATAAAGCTTGTGTGGAACTATCTATATACGAGTTTTGCGCACATATTTTGTTTATTTATTGTAAGTCGCACTGGGCTATCCCATAGAGAATGACGTTGCAATAGTCTAGATGGGACATGACAAGAGGTAACAAAGGTATTTCTGTAGCTTCTTTCGTCAAAAACCGTCTAATGCTCTTTAATCTCATGTAATTCAAAATAGCAGTTCACGTGTTCTTTGAAATTCAATGATTCGTCAAGAAACCCCCTCGTTATCTTACACAGTTGTCTGCTTTGATTGAGATTGTTTCACATTGATTAAGTTGAGGTTGACTACCAAACGTTTTAGAAGTGATCATCTTTAGTTTGTTCTGATCTAACCAGTCTTTGAGTGATAACGAACATTTTTTCGAGTTCGTGTTTAGTATTTCTTTCGGTGCCAGGATCTTTCGGGCAGAATTGTTTATCGCAAGTGTGATCGTCTGCAAAACCATGCACTGTGGTAGATGGCGGTATGACGTCAAATAACGTCCCTGCATATGCTAGATACAGGCAATGACCGAGACAGCTTCCTTGAGTGACATTACATTCAAGAGTACGTGACCTGAAATAGGCTGAATCGACATAAACTCTACAACTTCGAGGACGCAAGTAGGAGTCAATCTAGTTAAGTGTTGAAGAACAGATTCCGTTCTATTTCTTCAACTATATCAGAAGCCGCACTCAGATTGACCGCTTTTATCTTTCCATACCATCCAAAAACGTCTGTTAGCGCTTTTTTTCTTTTCCTTTCTTTTTGTTGTTTTTTTTTTTTTTTTTTTTTTTTTTTTTGTAACAGGTTATATTAGTTGACACGGGAATTAAATATCAATAGCGCAGTTTATTTGATTACTTTGGAGAGAAAAGAACGATTGCTTACTGGTCGATAGTTTGTTTATATTTATTCAAGACAAGACTTCTTTAGTAAAGGCCGAAAGACGACCTGTTTCCATTTATCAGGAAGTTGCCCTGACGGAGTGAAATATTCAGGTAGATAATTTATATAAAATTTAATATAAAATTTACTACTGGTTGCGTTATGAAAATCTTTGCACCTCGGAAGAAATGAATATTGCAGGCTAGGTTTGATCAAGCCTGTTCATGAGAGATGAAGAATAAAAGTGCTACATTTCTCGAGCCTCCTAGCTGGTGTGACTGTATCGAAATTATTTTTTCTCCATGATTTGCTTAAAATCACATTTTATATAATAACTATATCAACAAGCTATAAAAACTTAAACTTCCAGTGATTTGGGACCATGCAATGTACCCATTGTACAATAAAAATGATAGTTATGCTCACAAAATACAAGTGTTGGTAACATTAATAACATTTTTATATATGATTATTAGCAAAATCATGCACTGAGGCCAACCACGCTAAAATTATGTATGACTTTGTCATTTTACCAAGAATTTCTCATAGAAATAGTTATCATATCAATATTCTCTCTGAAGACGTAAACTACGTGACATTGCAATGTAGCTCCTTTTAAAGGTATTGTTATCAAAGTAAACACTCAGAAAATATTTATTTCAGTAAAATGAACGGCCTATTTATGAAATAATCAACTTTGCTTTTTTGATGACAAAAGCTTATTTCCTAAACAGATACTTGTATTTTGCTGCAAGAATCTATTCCGACAACGATTACATGTATATACGATTTCAAAATTAATTTGCCAAAAATTATTTCGCTAATGAATAAATGTGTGCAAATATTTAGCCACCAAACTATACTGGTTCAATTATAAATGTAATCAGAAATATGCGAATTATTCCTGTTCTTGTACATACACTAGTAAATTTTGGTGCGTTTTATTATATTAAACATACTTCCTTCCACCCAGTACGTTTTAAAATAAACTTAATTAAAGATAGGTACCCATTTTTAGAAATTAATTGGAGATGTGAAAATGGTTTCTATCTAAATGGATGTTTAGTTTTTTCCATATTCGGTATTATACAGTAAACAATTGCGGTAGCAAGTGTCGTGTGTAAACAGTTTAGCGTCAGTGGTATTTTTTATCTTTTTGGTCGTCCGGTATCATTGATCCTAGCATGTACTGAAGATTGAAAACAGCTTAAGTCGGTGCTAGGGGGTGCGAGGGATGTCACACTTTCCCTATCATCCCGCATGAACAGACTGCAGTTTTCATGTAATTCTGTAGTTTTTCATTGCTTCCAGGTATTTATTTTGGGGAAAATCCGTCAATTTCGTTGCAAGTGTTACATGGATTTGACCATATTACACCATCAGGTTCCATCTAAGACTTGATGTACCTTTTGTTCAAAAATACCTTTAAAAATGACTAATATCATAAAATTATCTGTGTTAACTTCATGACCATGTAACATAATTTTTATTTAATTCTTGAAGTGTAATCAATAACAACAAACAAATGGTGAATGTGGTACTGCTTTTTATTTCTTTTTTCCTCATCAGAATTCATATATCAAAGTTGTCATAAATATACTGTAGTAAAGTTGTTAAATTCATGCAGATTCATCATTTAGCTATTAAGATTTTCCAAAATATAATTTTTAAAAGATATATTTTCTTCTTTAAATGGTTTTTCTTATTTTTATACTTACATTGCTATATCCAGCTGCATTAAAACATTTAAAGTAACAACATATATCAGATTTCCACATAAACAATGTTTTTTCTTGTATATATTAAACATGTATATATAATTTATGCAATATTGTGTATATATGACATGAAAAAAGCAAAATATACATGAACATCAATCAAAAATAAACTTCACCGTTACCAGGGAAACGAAACATATATATCACTTACATCAGCACTAATCAGTAAAGTTCATAAAAAGAGATAACATTTAAAAGCCCATGGGAATGTCAAAAGTTATTCACCTAAATAAGTGAAGAAAATAAATACGATTTTGTAATAAATATTAAAAGAAAACATTAAATGTGAAACAATCATAATCATAATATTCAACTGGCAATAAATCTGATTTGTTTAACCACCAGATACTAACAATTATTAAAAAGATATCCACCGAAATAAAAATTTTTAACTGCCTTTAGTTCTTCATTAAAAAATATGGTTGTTATGTAATCATTCGAAAATAGATATATTTGAATTTGCAAAAAATAGGTTACCTTCCTTACAAAGTCATAAATATATCAGTACAAAAGTCAAAGAAAATGAACATTTTTTTTTAAAGAGAAGGGGTACGGTAATTCTCCAGAGCTGAACATTTATTTAAGGGGAAAATTTACATGACTTGGGTCACTGTTTCTTCCACATCATTAAATATCACTTACATATCACAATAAAAAAACTGCAAAGAAACGACCAATGAAAACAGACAGATAGACAGACGGACAAATAACAAAGAATAACCCATTGCACTCACCCTCATGTATAACAACAACCAAATGAAATAAAAATGTTTTGAATAAAAAAATGGGAGGAAAAAACTCTCGTATAAAAATTTTCAACAAATAAAAATCTCTTAAAAAATCACTAACTAAATGATCAAAGTTTACTAACATTACAAGTGAATATCTGTAAATAATAATGTCCGATGAAGCTTGGAAAGTTGAAAATACACAGGTATATCATAATTATGCCTAAAGAGTATTCCTTTTCATCACTTAATAAATTATAACATTTAGGCTTGAAATAATATCAGGTAAACAACTTAAGCTTAGAACAGCAATAAATGCATACATGTATATAAAATAAAATCATACATATTTTTTTTAGTATAAAAAAGCAAATTGTCACAACCTACACATGTATTTCCTTTTAAAAAAACATTATAGGAAAAAATAATCAAACACAGAAAAGGGGGGAATAAAAGCAACATCTGGTGTTTTTTCAGGCATTAAATGTATGTCAAACAATTATAAAATGAGACAGATAATACAATAATTGACAATTAAAGATGGTGTCTAATTCTTGTTAACAGTGAGTTTATATATTGTTGTATATGGTGTGCTGAATCTTCATGTTCTAAAAATGGTTTCTTGTCTATTATTAGCATACAATAGCACTGCTGTTCATTCTCAGGTCTTGAAAAAATACAGCAATCAATCCATTGCGAAATATAGGTGATACAGGTCAATTTATATCATGATTTATTACACAGACAAACCTTATGATAATGAACTCTTCTGAATTAGAAACAGTGATGGTCTATTCACTCTAAGATGAAATGAAATAATGCCCCATAGCACCAGATAAAGGAGTAGACAAAATATTCAAATTGAATAAAAAATAGGATTTCTTCATAAATTGATTAAATTTGATAATTATGAAATATTGGATGTTAATAACATATAGATGACATTGAACAAATCAAAACTTTGTTTCTGCTTAATTTTTTTATTTATAAAAACAATATACACCAAATAGTTCTGGGGAAATTGATATTAATCATATAGTAGAAGAAAAACACACACATAAGTGAATGCATATGAATACACACACATGCACATTTGCTGCCTTGAATATGAGAATTAAATCAATACATCAATCAATAAATCAATGAATAAATCAATCAATACCCAAACTAATAACAGATCAAATAATAACTTAGGACAAAAAACCATATACACATACATGTAACAGTTAATATGATCCAATGCTGATTCAAAACAATATTGCATGTTACAAAAATTCATGCAGATCCTGATTTTAACGTTGCAACCATGTCTTTTATTTTTAATTAAATGTGCATAGGCCATTTTGACATATTTCATACGAGTTTATCAACATGAATGAGGTAAACATGATACAAATGTGCAAAAAAATAATGTTGTTGTTCTTTACCATTTTTTTCGTTAAATCTCATATTCACATCCTTACGAATTTTGTTTTATTAAAATATATGCTATTTTCCTTACAAATGTGTAAATCTTGGAAAAAATGATTTAATTTTATTTTTTGCTATTGTCTTATGTTTTGGTACATAAAATTTAAAAAAGAACAGTTCAAAAGTTTTAAATTATTTCGATGTTTTAACCTTTTGTATGATTATTTTTTTTATAGGTTAGTTTTAACCTTTTGGATGATTATATTTTTTATAGGTTAAAAAGCTGTCATGACTGTATCTGTTTATTAAATGGAATTAATGTACTAGAGTATTAATCACTCTATATATGGCAATGGTAAGTTACCTGCAAAACAGCTTGTCTTAGGCACTTTGAACAATAAATAACCATTCAAACACACAATACAGTATATATATACATGTACATTATTCATAGGCAATCTTTGCACCAAATACTTGATATACTTCTGTGTTCACAAAGCAAGCATCGGTCAGTTTCTCTCTCCCTCGAAAAAAGTGCAGTTCTACTCTATACTTTACCCCTTTCTACACTCCCCCCCCCCCTCCCACTTTTTCATAGTATATGATTTCAAAATAGCAAATATGATTCATGTCACATTTGAATAAAAAAATGCCATTCTCAATGAATGATACAATATTTGCCAAATTGATTGAAAATGGAAACTCTTTTTAACTTTGTATATTGGTTGAAACTTAATTCTGAAAACAATTGTTTTGCCTATATTCAATAAAAAAAATTTAAATTTCATTTTCAAATCTAGAATATTTGTTTCCATTTTCAATCCTTACAATGACCATACAGATTTTCTGTAGTTGTTGTTGTTTTTTACCAATACAAATAACCCTTTACTACATTTTGATTAGATATCAAGAGTTTTTCCCCTGCAAATTAAGATAAGACTATTTTCTAAACTTTGTTAGATTAAATAAAACATCTACATCCAAAATGAAATCTGTATGCTCATCGGATATTTTTATCATTTTTTTTTTCCACACATTTTTTACTTTTTTATTTTATTTTCGTACACAAGTTTCCACTTTTTACAATATTCACAATGAAACTTTATCTTTCCAATATCTTTCATCATGATCACCTCTTTAAAGGCTTTTTCCAAACTTGATTGCTTTCGAAGCAGATGCAGTACTTTTACTTCCAAGTATTAACAATATACTCTGTAAAGTTCACATTTATTGTGGAGGAAACCATTGTTTCAACTCAAAATGTTTTCAATGTCGTCACATAACATGGTAACATGTCTGATGATAATCAAAGACCGTCAAGTCAAAACATAACATGTTCTTCAGCATGGAGTATACCGACAGTCATTTCTTTAATAATCAATCAAGCAGCACCATTCTGCAATAAATATCAAGCAGACAAAATAACCAGCCAATCAGGCTTAAGGTTACATCCTCGATCTATCTGCTTTTATTATTAACAAATTCACAGACTGTCAAAACTGCAATTAGCAGATTTTTTTTGTGATTACATATCATCTTGAATCACCTGGGGCAGCAACTTGGCATTTCAATCCAATTTCAATGGATTACCAATTAACTGTCAACAATATGAACAGCATTATAGTGGAGCTAAAAGCTCTAACACATAGTATTTCATAGTTAATGTGTGGATTTCATTTTTCCACAACTGCAGGCTATCAATTAGCACTGCTTTTAATCCGCCCCCACTAATTCACCCATTCAAATCACTCTCCGCAACAGTGATGCACCTTTCAGTCCATTGTATGTGCACCTATTTTTGTATAATTAAGCTAACCATGAATACAGGTTGCAAAACTATGTCACATTTTCTAATGGACATCTAATTAACAGTGTTATTGCACTGCTATTATCCCTATCCTCTCTGTAGGATATGTATGTACCTCTGTACATTATTTTGGTGCTGTTGCACCCTTTAGAACTCTAGTGAAAATTATAATTTTACTCTTAACAACAATAACTCAATCTGTAAAATCACCAAAGTGTACAAAATTCTCACAGTATACTGTTATAATTTGTGTTTTTTTTTATATTCTTTTTTTTTTCAATTTTATATTTCTTCTCTCACACATTTAACTTATTTTTTTTTTTTTTTTCAACATGGGTTTTCACTTAATTTTATATTTTTACTTCCTTATAGTTCATAAAAAATTTTTAAAAATAATAAATTCTTCTCTCAATAATTGTACAGAAGACATGTACATTAAAATTGTTCTGTATTGTTAATTAATCATATTATAACACTATACTGTGAGTATCTAAACAAACTTTCAGACATTTCAATTCTTTATCAATACAATAAAAATTTGTCATTTCATACAATGCATTTTCCATACCACAGATCTCTTTTGTCAGACAGTGGCACCCCTATGTCCACCTCACAGAGTTCTTTGATCAGACATTTTCCCTTTGTCTGTATTCTCAGACAGTGTTCCTTCACTGTCTATGTCAGGTGCCCTTTTTATCTCCTCCATGCTGGTACAAGTCATAAATATGGGGTTTGTCACTGATCATGTGACTGTCATATCCAGGATTTTCAGTTTACTTTATGGCTCAACATTTCTGGAACCACCTTATCTCGTCACCCAAGTATTTCATATAAATCTCTTTTTTTACATAAGCAGTGTCCTCTTGAAAACATTTTTCACTTAAGTCACTAACTGCTTATTCTTATGAAAACTTGATACAGAATTTATGTTTCTGATCAAATTTATTAAAGCACCTTTAATTGTCTACATATTCAAAGTGCTATCCTGATATGTAATAATGTACAAGATTTTGTTTACAGCCTATGCTATTTATCATTATCAAGCAAACTAAATAACAGTAACTACTTATTAATTTAATCAACAGCAGTAATCAATTATAAATATATGAGGTATTTACAGTGTTTTTTAATAATGCTACCCTGTACAGCAAACTTCTCTAAACTAATAAACCCTACAGTACTCTCCCTTTTGCCATACAAACCCATTATAATTCCCTCCCTCAAAGCTATCTCATAGCTAATATGCCCATCTTAATACATCAACAGCTTTTACATTTTACCCATGTGTATATTTGTATGGTTAAATGCGAAACTCACAACCACATAATTTTTGTACATTTTAAAACCTTAACAATTGATCAAAGTTTTTACATCTCTTTCTACAATAGTAAGTATATGTACAAATAATCTTCTCTCTTTTAAACAAGTAATTTACATTCCCATTCCCTTTTTTTTGTTTATGGTTACAAAACCATAATTTTTGAAACATATTATTCAATATCACAACAATCAAACACTGTTTTCATATTCCCACCTCAATGCACGCTCATTTTTAGGACATTTTTGCATCTTTCAGGGCCATTCCAGGGCCTATTCACTGTACAACTATGCAACATACAGGGCAAGCACAATCTCTTGTTTTATTTATAACCCATCCAGGGCCTATACAACTAGTTTAAGGATATTTACATCAAAAATTTACATAGGAGGGGGCCCATCTACATATTTCAGCTCTGGAGAAAACCTTAAGGAAAAATCTAGTAACTTGTGTAAAGAATCTGGAGCAAATAAGTAAAGCAGCCCTAAAAACACAGCAACGGCAATGGCTTGTATTGGAAACCACTTCAGCCAATCACTTGAACTCTTCTTCACAGGTAGTTGTGGAACTGACCTCTTTGGTTTTACTACTTCAGTGATCCTGTAAAACAAAAACAACCTTTTAGTTTTTTTTGGTTTTACTACTTCAGTGATCCTGTTAAACAAAAACAATCTTTTAAGTTTATTTTTTTCAAACTGACAATAATACCTATATCTTAACAAAGGAACATTTTTCTTTGTTAAATTAACACTTAGAATTATAGTTCAAAATCTGTTACCATTCCATTTAAATATAATCCTGAGTATTAAAAAAATCAAACCTAGATTTTTCTGTTTCCATGGGAACAACTTCCGGCTTCTGAAACATGAAATCGACCTCATCTACCTCCATTCTGTCCTCAACTTCCATTCCAGAATCCTGAAATATATAAAACAATGGCTTTCTTGTGGAATAATGTAATACATTAGAAGAATAACTTGCTCACTATTTAGCAAAAATGAAAGCTGTGAGACAATCAATTGTAATCAAATCAATTCTTACTGTTTCAAGGAGAAATACAGTCTTGCTTAAATAATTGAAGCAAATATCTTTTTAGTTCTAATCATAGTTTAAAATGCTATATATTTACAGTAATAGTTAATGATTTGCTTTAGAAACAGAACGAATTATGGATTAAGAATTCAATGTCATGAAAACCATTCACATAGATAGTTTAAAATAAAAGAAAATAAGAGACTACACACTTGTTCAACATCTTTCTCATGTAGTTGTCGAGCCAATAAGTCTGAGTCCATCATCTCCTGACACTGTCTCTGTGCCACGTACAGTTGATTACGTATATCAGCAATACTAGCTGTGAGGTCTGTCTGTAACTCATCGTCAGAGACGTCCATTAACTCACCACGTAAACGCTGTAGAGTCATCAACTTCTCCTCATACACACCCAAGTTGTTTATTAACTTCTAAAAAATTGTAAAATTAAAATAAATATGGGCATACAGGTTTTCATCACAGTTTTAAATTTTGCTTACAACTTTTAATACATAACATATCTAGAAGCAGTGAAATATAACTTTCCTTACAAAAAAGTTTCTATAATTACAATTTAATTACATGTATGTATGCAGCACCAACCATGTTTTTTATTTGTACTCATATGGGCGTTTTTTAAATCACAATTTTAACACATTTTTTGGTCACATCTCATTACTCTTATTAAGTCTACCTAACCAGTTTCCTTGGATAACTAATCAGTAATTAACAATTTCTCCACAAGTAACAGACTACCATGCCATTTATGATTTTTTTTAATTTATACTTATGAAAATAAAGTCAGAATACTAAAATATCAAAGTATCAACTTTACACCAGTCTTAGAACAAGACTGATGGTTACATCGAATTTGAGCATAAATTAATTACTGATAAAATTTCATCTCTATACTGGTAAACTTTAAAGTTTATAGCATTTATAATTAAAGACTGAAAACTGAATATCAACATTAAGTAAGGCACAAAAAAGTTTCTATTTACAATACCAGAAAAAAGTCTTTGCTACCTTAAGGTCATCATCTACTCCAACCCTTGACCCATGCTCATCAATCTCCTGTGAGAATGCTAGCTTCTCCAGCAGCTCTCGTTCTTGAGTGAGCAAAAATTCCAGCTCAGATCTGGTCTCTTTGTACTCCTGCCATACATATTGTATGTGCTCCAGCTCTAATACACGATTTGTACATCTGTAATAAATTGAGATTTTTTTTAAAGATGTGCTTTTGATATACATACTAGAGCTAATAGTAAGATGTGAAAATTAACAAAAACCAGTCAAATTTTAGATTTTAACAATGTTATTGTCTTGAAATACATTGGAGAGAATGATCTTTCACTTTGATAAGCTGTGAAATGGACACCTACTCTTCTGTTAATTTATAACTGCCTATTAGTACATGTAATTTGAGAGGCTGTCTTTTATCAGAATGCATAAATTCAATAGCAGACAGTAAGGTCTGGTCGTGCAAGATGGCCTGTACTTGTGGCATAAGTTAGTTATTATCACTGCTAATATATATCCTTATCATACTAAATATCTTAAATTGACTTTTCCATCTTTTAATCTGGACAAAACCATTTTTATTTCTCGGGAAAATTTCATACTAAGTACTGACTGAATAGCAAACAGTACAGACAATAGTAAGACCACGCAATGTTAGTCTGCCCAGATCACGTGTATATTCAGCAGTTGCTGCTAGCAGGTTAAGGGTTCAATAAATTTAAGGGACATTATTTCACTCAAAGTTATATAAGCTTCGGGAAAAGTAGTTTTATTTGGAGTGTATAAAAAACTAATAAGGTCTTATTTAGGTCAGATTTGTTTACTAAGCATATATTGAAGTTTGATCTCTCCTGCCCAGATATGATGACTCATCTTGGTCTACATTGGTAGCATGGTTGAATTCAGTAACCTCCAAAGAAGCTAACAATAAAAAGAAATAATATTTTGTGTAATCTTACTGTTGCATGAGCTCATCTATTTTGTCCTCTGTGTTCTGTATCTGAAGCAGGAAACCGTCCATGTTCACTGAAGGATTCTGGGTAGAGAATGTTGTCACGGCAACTCTTAAGTCACCCAATATCTGCTTTTGACACTGTAAATACTTTATTTTATCCTGAAAATACACAAAATAAATACTTCTTCAGTAATTCATAAATACTGTAAAATAAATGAATTTGTTTAAATTCAATTATTTAAAAAATTAAAAAAAAGAAAGTTAACAGTGCAAGTCATAGTATTTAAAAAATTATATAAATTCTACTTTCTTAACAAAGCAAAAACATTAAAATCTTTCTTTGGGAAATAGACAAATGATGCTGTGATGCAAAGCACATTCATCAAAATTCAATGAAAGAAAATAAACATAAAAAAAAATCTCAATTGAACTAATATATTAATATAACATTTTTACCATACCTGTACACCTAGAATATTTGCCTTGAGGTCTTCCATACTTTTAAACCTTCTTTTCTCGGCCTCTGGTACCCCTTCTGTAGCCACACCTTCTATAGACAGGAATGTGGCATACATTGTCTTCACTTCCTGAGACTGGTTACGTCTGTCAGATGCCAGGGCGTGTAACTTCTCCCACTGGTATAACAGATCTATAATATACGAGACAATGAATTCATATTTATTTCCATTATGCAGTAATCTATAGTTATATTTATTTTGATAAAATGTCTAATAAATCATACTCGGGACAATATAGATCCCTACGTAGCAATAAAAAAATGATTATCTAAGATTCCATCTTTATTGAGTTTGTTCATACAAGACAATACTGAATAGAAAGTACAACATATCTGATGCCAGGCCTAGCACTGGCATAAACAGTATTCAATCCTCCAAAAGTTTACAGATCCATTTTAAGCTAGTATTTCATCACTCTCTTTACCCCCAAAAAGTCTAAATAAATATCAATATAACAATAAAGAATACTGTGACACTAACTGTCTATGGTTAAACACTAGACACGTACACATATTTGAGAAAGAAAATACATGTTTTCAGACAATTCTATAATAAGTCTGCCAAATTATTTTGGCTTAGAATTTTTATTTCATGCTTTCCAGTGTTTTATTGTAATATATCAGATGATTATATTCTGATAAACCACTAGTGAAATTTATAAAATATAATTTTCACTGTAGCCGGACTATATCTGAATGCGGATGAAAAGAAAATCATAACTAAATGGAATAACAGGCAGAAATAAATGCCGTCATGCGTAAATTTTGCTTCTTTAGGAAAAGAAAGTCGATGTCATCATACATCATGTTAAAAATGTAACAAAATTAGAGAAATGTAACAGACCTATATTTCAAAATTGATAATGTGACGTCATGATGTGATGACGTCACAAGGAAGAATGCGCGACGTTACGCGGCAAAATTAGTAAAAAAGTACTTAAAATCACTTAAAAAGCATGAAATAAAAAGAAAATTTATTTGTTTTACATATAAGATTGAAATATATTTCATTCGTGAACACCAGCTATTATATTTTCACTCGTGGCTACGCCACTCGTGAAAATATTGCGTCTGGTGTTCACTCAGTGAAATTATATTTCAATCTTACATGCAAAACAAACAAATATCCTCTATGTATCTATCTTTTTGAAGATGAGAAAACTGAATACATAGTTCGTTTTTTTTTGGAAATGAGAAACAGAAGGGGGGAAGGATTTTTTTGGGGGCAGGGTGTGCAGGCAGGATTTAATTCACAGTGATACTGGAAAGATCACTATGCTGATTTTCATGACTTACTGGTGGAAAATGACCTCAAGTGTTCCTTGGTGTATTATCCCAGGCACAAGCTGGTACATAGGTGAAAATCATATAATTATCTTTTGCTAAGAATTAACCACCCTTCGCTTTATTTTTTGTTCATTAAGAAATGCATTTCTTTGCAGGTTTTGGTGATAGCTAAATGATTTAAAATTGTCTCTATGATGTACAGTAATTTAACCCTTAACCTACTGAATGTGTATAATGGACTTGTTGATCTGCCATTTTTGGAACTTTCTATTATCAAAATTTGGGATATCAATATTGGCAGGCTTGTATGGATTTATGCTAGGGCTGTCAGGGGTTAGCAAAACAGTACTGCTTACCGTTTATCCTACCATACTAAATTCTTGGATTTTTAACATCATCTATTTTTTTATTGATATTAAGATAGCCAATTTGATGTGTATTTTGTTGTATTCAACAAAGACTTGAAAACATATTCTATTATGGAGTAACTGTTGTCCATAAGGAAATTTCTTATCAGTTCTTGGCTAAAAAAAACGACCAAACCGGTTTAAAGCGATGTCCTTAAGTTATACTGATGACAAAGGCTAATCACCTTCCAGCAGGTTAAAGCAATAAACAACAACAACAACAACGTCCAAAACAAAAAAATATGCAAATCTAAGCTGACTTTGACTGGGTATTTTTCACTGAAGAAATTTCAGATTTTCCTGAAATCTTTATGCCATCGTAAAAGTCAATTTGCTTCATGTACACCTCCCTTATTTTGACATAAAAACTGGGAAATTTCTACACAAGTATTCTGGAACTAATGAACAATGCCTGTAAATTAAATTATGCTGCTACAAAAAAAACTCTCATCTGCAAGATGAAACTTAATTACTTCATTTGAACGTCCAGCTTTACAATGAAAAAAACAAAAAAAAATATTTTAACAAAATGTTTTTATCCAAACAAGACAACTTTTTTTATGAAAATTAAAGAAAGTTTTAAATAGTTGAAAATGATCTTTATTTTTTATAAAGTTTAAATTGAATATAAAATAAGCAGCCCTGGCTCAATTTTGGTTGTGACGCCAGTAGTTCAACTCAGGTGCAGTTGTTTGCGCCTGAAATAATGCATCAAGGAGCACTTAAGCTCTCCCTCCAAGATGGCAAAATCATTTGACAATGATGGCAAGACTTAGTTATATATAATGCAGATAGTGGTGGGGAAAAAAAGAGATGAATTTCAGAAGCTTTTAATGAATGTATAATCATACACCTTCATGCATGTTACCTTGAATAGTTTTTATATCAGCCTCTGTGACGTCAGCTTGGTCAAGATGCTGACTTATAGCCTCTAAACATTTAATGTTTGTTTCTATAGTCGCCAACAATTCACCCTGAAATATTACAAACAAACAATTTAAAAATGTAAACTTCTATTTATTTAACTCTGAATTTTTCAACTACATGTATAGTTAAACCATTACAACCAATAAAAAGCAAGGTCAACTTCTACTATGCATTCTGTCCAGACTTTACACAAGTGAATTTACTAAAATCAGCAGTCTAATTTCAGCCTTGATTGCAAGTACATTTATATGGTATCGGTACTTTTTACATGTTTCCTAGAAAATAGACAAAAAATGCAATGCATTAAGACAATCTGATGTTATTTCTCCCAATGCTCAGTGTAACATTAGTTCTCTAGGTTTTTTGGGACTTTTTTCTTTTCAAGTAAAACAGATAACATGAGTTGCATATTGCACATTTTAAGACATTTCAATTAAAATGTAGGAAAATGAGAAAATTTCCATTACAACAAGATCAATCCCATAGACAATTTGCAATTTGAGTTTTCAACGCTTCTTGATTATCCATTCAACAGTGAAACTGTTGAGAATGGAAAATTTCACGGAAATATCAAACTACAGTAGACTCCGCTTATAACGAATTCAATGGGACATTTAAATATCGTTAGGTATATCCGAAGTTTGCTAAAAGCGAAGTAGCAAAAACATGCTGACTTCTAATGTGGACAAATTAGCCATGAAAAAGACATATCTGTCACCAGTGTAATCGTTTTTTTACGGCAGCGGTAATTTTATTTAGATTAGTTTAATAATATTTTATTGCAACTATATAAAACATGTAAGATATGAATAACACAAAAACAAATGTAAATATAAGTATAGAGCAACAGCCCTTCCCACAAAATCTAACTCTTATAATAGATATATGCGGAGCATTTTATTTAGACATGTAGGATATATAAAACTAGAACTATCACTAAATGTGATTAATACCCCCACAAGTCTGCTTCGGAAATGAGGATGTTAGTAGTAACAGAATACCTTGTAAAAGAATTGAAATATAGAGTTATGGTTGTGGGCAATTAAAGATAATTGTGGTTCATGTATGTTGCATTTCCTTTCAATGTGGTTGGCCATTGATGAAGTTTAATTGAATTACTCTGTAATAAGTCCAGAAAGACAAAGAAAAAGAACAAAGGGCAAGTACTCTATAACTATAGAGTTATAGTTCTTGTGCACTGCACTTCCTCTTATTGTGCTTGACCATTGTATGAAGTTGTTTTGAATTCCAACCAGTACGTTTTGAGTTATGCTCCGGACAAGGAAAAGTATCAAAGGGCAGTAACTCTGTATTTTGTCAAAATGGAGTTATGGCTCTTGTGCACTGCACTTTCTTTTAATGTCCTTGACAACTGTATGAAGTTGTACTGAATTCCAAACAGTAGTTTTCAAGTTATGCTCTGGACAAGGAAAAGTAACAAAGGGCAATAACTCTGTAATTAGTCAAGATGGAGTTATGGTTCTTGTGCACTGCACTTCCCCTTATTGTGCTTGACGATTGTATGAAGTTGTACTGAATTCCAAACAGTAGTTTTCAAGTTATGCTCTGGACAAGGAAAAGTAACAAAGGGCAGTAACTCTGTAATTAGTCAAGATGGAGTTATGGTTCTTATGCACTGCACTTCCTCTCAATGTGCTTGACCATTGTATGAAGTTATAATGAATTCCAACAATTAGTCTTCAAGTTATGGTCCGGACAAAAGAAAGCAATGGAAAAGTAACAAAGGGCAATAACTCTGTAATTAGTCAAGATGGAGTTATGGTTCTTGTGCACTGCACTTCCCCTTATTGTGTTTGACCATTGTATGAAGTTGTTTTGAATTCCAACCAGTAGTTTTAAAGTCATGCTCTGGACAAGGAAAAGAAACAAAGAGCAGTAACTCTGTAATAAGTCAAGATGGAGTTATGGTTCTTGTGCACTGCACTTCCTCTCAATGTGCTGGACCATTGTATGAAGTTATAATGAATTCCAACAATTAGTCTTCAAGTAATGGTCCGGACAAAAGAAACCAATGGAAAAGTAACAAAGGGCAGTAACTCTGTAATTACTTTAGATAGAGTTATGGTTCTTATGTACTGCACTTCCTCTCAATGTGCTTGACCATTGTATGTAGTTATATTGAATTCCAACCATTAGTCTTCAAGTTATGGTCCGGACAAAAAAAAAAGCAATGGAAAAGCAACAAAGGGCAATAACTCTGTAATTAATTTAGATAGAGTTATGGTTCTTGTGCACTGCACTTCCCCTTATTGTGTTTGACAATTGTATGAAGTTGTTTTGAATTCCAACCAGTAGTTTTCAAGTTATGCCCCGGACAAGGAAAAGTAACAAAGGGCAATAACTCTGTAATTAGTCAAGATAGAGTTATGTTTCTTACGCACTGCACTTCCTCTCAATGTGCTTGACCATTGTATGTAGTTATATTAAATTCCAACCATTAGTCTTCAAGTTATGCTCCGGACAAGGAAAATGCAACGGACAAAAAAAAAAGCAATGGAAAACCAACAAAGGGCAATAACTCTGTAATTACTTTAGATAGAGTTATGGTTCTTGTACACTGCACTTCCCCTTATTGTGTTTGACAATTGTATGAAGTTGTTTTGAATTCCAACCAGTAGTTTTCAAGTTATGCCCCGGACAAGGAAAAGTAACAAAGGGCAATAACTCTGTAATTAGTCAAGATAGAGTTATGGTTCTTGTGCACTGCACTTCCTCTCAATGTGCTTGACCTTTGTATGTAGTTATATTGAATTCCAACCATTAGTTTTCAAGTTATGCTCCGGACAAGGAAAATGCAACGGACGTCTGGACCGACCGACCGACCGACCGACCGACCAACCGACCGACCACCGGGTGACTCCTATATACCCCCCCCAAACTTCGTTTTTGGGGGTATAATGATTACCATTTGCATTAATTAACTATTTGTTTGTTATCATTTGGTTAATATTCATACAGAGAATCGATAATTTGGTAATTATCGGATATTTACAGTAATTTATCAAACTAGGCTACGAAAAACAAGTAGGAAATTATGTTGTGAGAACATTTTATCAAACTTTTTTCCCTGAAGGCGCAATAACTCGATTGATTGATTATCGGATAGCAGTATTTATGTACTGATCTTTATTCGAGTGAATCCCGATATTTCAATTATAACAGTTTGTTTAAACCGAGGAAATTTAGGTGTTTTTCGCCGTTTGGGGCTTGAAAAAGTTGTTCGCTATAGCCGAAAATTTGTTATAAGCGAGTACGTAATAAGCGATGTGGTTTAATATAAAATAAAGAAGGATTCCGCCGGGGATTTCAGATTTAGTTCGCTATTAATGATAATTCGTTATAAGCGAGTTCGTTATAAGTGGAGTCGACTGTATTAAACTCAAGTTATATATGTAAATGCAGAAAGCAAAATAAATCAATTGTTTCTAGATTGAAATTCACAATAATCCTACCACAATGCATTATTCAATATTAAAACATATCAACATTTTCATTGTTATCAACTTCATTTGTAACCATCGCCTTTAAATGTTCTTCCATAAACAGTCCAGAAAAAATATCATAACCAGAAACTTTGTTTGCTATAGTAACCATGTCTGATACAAGTGACCCTATACATCAACTTTATAACATAGAAGAAACTTAAGAAATTGACATACATATTTTCCTGGGTTTAGATACAGTCCAGTTTTGAGCGGGTCTTTTCTTTTCTTCTTAAGTGACCTATCTGCGACCTTGAGCTGCATTCTCGATTCCTCTAGGACATGATGCAAGTCTTCTATGTCAGAGTCACTGTCCTCAAAATTACCTTTATTTGATGGTACCTGAAATAATAAATAAATACTGTACATATGTATGTAAGCTACTTGACTTATAAATAAATGCAGTATGAAAATTTGTTCATATTACTAGAAAATTAATTGACCTTATGTCAGAGGTTGTTAAGAAATGTTCTAAGTTCAAACTCCGATCTCAGGTATTGGATTGGTCAGAAACCAATTCAGAATACCAAAAACAAGATTGAAACTTTCAAAAATTTTTTAACCCCAATAATGTTCCAAAATTTTTTAAAGTTTTTCAAATTTTTTTAAAAATAAAAAAGCCAATGAGAACTTTTTATGTTTTTAGATAATAATTTAAAATGACAATTTTTAAAAACAAAATTATTACAGTCTTAACAAAATTTCAATAATCAAAATTTGAAAACTTTTTTTCCCTTTTTCCACCCTTGTAATCAAACCTTGCTCATTTCTTATATCAAAACTTTTTAATTCCCTTTTTTGAAAAAAATTTTTATGACAATATATAAAGAGATTTACCTCATTCGGCCTAAAATACATTTTTTCTCTTTAAAATTCCACCAGGTGATTCAATAACAGTTTACATTTACTTTTACGTTGTGTTAATACATAGCTCGAGGTTTACTACATGGAAAGGTTGGCCAAAATTAAAAATTTTCCATATAAGGACAATTTATATGTTCTACATCATTTCTTAACAAAAGATTATAAACTTTTTTCGTTCAAATTATTAACCTTTTTCTACATAATAAATCCTTAAAATTCAAATTAATCAAGTTATTGTAAAGCATACAAAAATGTTGCATATATATAAAAAATTTACACTTTGATCTTTTTTCTATATATTTAAAATATAAGACCTAAAGCATGCATAAAAATACCTTTTATTTAAACTTACATTTTATACAATATCTTATTGTTCTTAGTTTAATATGGTAAGACCAAAATAATACTGAGAATTCATTAAATGCATTGAATATTCATGAAGGCATAAAAGATTATTATAATTCAACTTCATTTGTAGAATTAATTTATAACCTATCTCAACACCTAGTAGAGAAGTTTTATTTCATTTTGAGTTTTTATTACTGTTTCATGATAATAAGATAACGGAAATATTGAAATAAAAAGCTGATTATTTCTATATAGATATGAATACAATGTGCTGACAGAACAGAACATTACAATGAAGGAAATTACACACATAGCATGTTTAATGGAATTCCGAACATTACAATTTCAATACTACAGAATAAAAACATTACAATATACAACAAATGTACAGTATCACTTAATATATTCATTAGAATATATGTAAGCAAAATATATTCATTAGAATATATAAGCAAAAGAAGCTTTGTTAAGTTATCATTTCTTTGACCATTTATTTGAAATTTTGCAATTTTATTGGATACAAAATAATTTCAAAGACTAATACTGGACAAATTTTTTTTCAAACACTCAGTAAATAAACAAGCATATCAAATTAAATGTTCTGCAGATAAAGTAACTGCAATGACTTGATTTGTAAATGACTGAGAACAGATAAACATGATAAGGGAATGAAGACTTAGGGATAAGACTTTAGAACTATACTTTGGCTATTCCTATTATGATTTAAACAATAGAAATGTGATAGATACAGATGACTTTCTGACATATATACAACAGGATCAGGACCGTCTTACCAGTTTTGGTGTAACACCGGTGTATGACTCCTCCTCAGACCTCCTGGCTAGCAACGTGGCAAGGATTGTGGACTGGGGCAGACTAAACTCATCATCAAATTCCATCTCCCCTGGTTCCCATGTCAATGCATCCTCTGGCTGAGATTCACTTCCTGTTGGGTATAAGGCAGCCTGGAACCAGAATTTAAATTAAATTAAAATATGGAGGTTATTACATACATGTATATATATTCCCTATAGAACTTTCTAATCATCATTTTTTTTGTTTTGTTTTTTTGATATTTTACTCAGTACCTCTATTAACAATGTTGCCCTTGTTATCAAAGGAATGTAAAATCAAATTTAACTTTGAAAAAAATAAAATCTAATGTTAATAGAATTGTATCACTGGTTATACTGTAAAAACCATGAAATATGATGCAGCATATATTTGAAATAATGATGATTTTTGTTTAACAGGGAACACATATTTTATCAAATAAAACTATGGCTTCACTCCCCCCCCCCCCCCCAATTATTTTGTCTTCCCTTTTTCTGTTTTAATTTTTGCATGATACCATAAATGCAATTATTATTTAAAAGCAGCAGATAGGGGGATTTAGTATGTAACATGCATTTTGAAAACCAGCAAGTGCCATCATTACAAGAAGCCTTTTCCAGGAATTTCTATCTCTTCTATAATTTTTTTGAAAATCATATCATGTAATAAATGTTGAGGTTAATATATGTTCAAACATACCCAAAGAAAGTACACATAAGGTGCTAGAGATGATTGCACATAGTATTTAATTTATAAAGAATTTTTTTAGTGTCCGATTGTATAGAAAGCTATTAGCTTATAGACACACTTAAATCTGTTCCTGGAACCAACCAATTCTAAGCAATACTGTGTAAAGTTTCTTGCTCAAGGAAACAACAACCTGCCACTGACGGGGTTTGCACCCATGTGGCTAGCGATCATTGAAATACTAGTCTGACGTGTTCACCACTTGGCCATGCCACCACTTTGGCAAGTAATTGAACGCATTTACCCTAGTCAACAGAGAAGCATTGAATTTTATCACTCTTCCTCTTTTGGCACAACTATCATTTCTTAATATATTGTTATGAAATTTGAACTTAATCTTTTACTAGAACAGTATTCTTTTAGGATGGTAAATCTGGACAACATTTCTAAGCTGGTTAAAATGTTTATGTTAAAGGGGCAACATTCGCTGCCGCGGCAGCGAGTATTTGTGGGTGTGACTATTTAGTGATGTAAAACTGTCTGTTATAAACCATGAGCTAAAAATAGAATGCAGTGTTAACCTGCAGAGAGAATGTAAACAAAACAGCATATTTTACACAGGAGAGGTTTAATGGATGTTTTATATAACTCACAGATTAATCAGATTAATTAAAAGACATTATCAAGCCATCTTGTCCAGATATTATTTTTGAAGTCAGTTGTTTTTCATCAAGTCAGACAACTATGTCCAAATCCAAAGGATGTGCCTTACATGGCGACATTTCTTTTAAGAAAAAACTGCTAAAAAAATGATCTTGACAGGAATTAAAATATTTTTAAACTATTAATATATAAAAAATTTATACAAATGATAAAGCATTTGTGAAATGTAATTTTGACTACAAGATATTTACAACAAAAATATAGTGTAAATGAAATATACCTGGAAGTTACTTTTACTGTTTTCATGAAGTTTAAACCATTTAAATACAAGTTGAATCAGTTACTTTGAAATTAAAAAAAAATCATAGATTAATGGATTATTGTAAATTTGTTGGATATAAATATTTTTTGATAAAGTAAGATCGAAAAATTTTATTTTTTTTTTAAAATTTTTCACAAAAGGGCGCGCTGAAAATCCCCTCCCTGAAATAAACGTCTGACAAATCTCCTAAACGAAAAAAACACGCCACGGGGGGCACGTTTACTACTAAAGGGTTTTCATGCCCTTTAATGACTTGGCCCCCCAGGAAATTTAAATTTTTAAAATTTTGACAGCCAAAGTTTTTTTTTCCAGAAACACACAAAAAAGTTTTTTTTTGAAAATTTTTGGCCAACTAATCAAGAAATGACCTACCAGCCAAGGTTTTAAAATTTTTTGGTAATTAATCAAATTTTTAAAAAGGGGCCCCCAAAAGCATCCCATAAAATTTTAATAAAAACCTCCCCTAGCCCCCACGCGGGTTTTTATAGTCCATTTGGGGCCAATTTTTACTCTTTTTTGTGAAAACAATTGAGTCACAACACCCAGAAATTTTGGGCACAGCCATTTTTTTTAATTTATAGCAACCCTTTCCAAATTTTGGAAAGGTCGCGCAAAAAGGGCGCGCGACACAAAGGCGCCAATAGGAAAGGCCGCAAATCAGTTTTTCCCGGGCGCATTTCCCAAAATAGGGAAGGTCCGAAATAAGGGGGTCCCAGACAAAATACTTTTTTTAATTTTTTTTACCCCTTCAGCATTAAATTTGTTTTAACAAAGCATTTTTGGTCTAAAATTTTTATAATGTTTCCTTACTCACAGTTTTATCAAGTCGGGGTTATTTTTAAATTTAGTGTTTTTGAAAACTGGAAAATTTAAATTTTTTGTTTTTTAATGAAACAGTCAATTTAGTTTATAGAAATTCAATCAGTATAAATTTTTTGGTTTTTAAATAAGCCATATTTAAGACATAATTTTTATACTGCAAGAATATTTTGCACTTTTAAGATGAAATTATTGGACAGATAATTTTATCCTATTTGAGTGTTCAAACATAGTAAATTTATATAACTATTATGTATTTTTTTGTACTAATGTTTGTATTGTACAACAGTCTGTATACCTGAACCAGTTGCAGGCCATTTTGAACATTGTAAGCATTGTCAGCATTTTTTTAAAAGGTCGCGCAACATTTCGGTTCGCGCATGATGTTGTGTGGCAAACTGGAGAGGTCGCGCAATAAAGGTCGCGCAACAGTCTACTTTTGCACACCACCCTAGCTGCGCAAACAAAAGGGTATATAAGCTGGGAAACTTTTCAGCTGGTGGTTTGGAGTCTTTTTGAGGTTTTGGAGTTTGAGGAGTTTTGGAGTGGTGGGGTGGTTGAGTTGCAGTTAGTTAGTAAATTGCAGAAATGTATTGTTGAAGGTTGGTTAAGGATTTTACTTTGGTTTTGACTGTTCGATAGAGAAATAAAATGCATTGCATTATTTTGATTTTACTGCAATAAATATAATCCTGCTTTCACTGGACTTGACTTGTTCATTTTACCAGCATAGAGAAATGGTTTACTTTTTAAGCGAAAAACGTGAATAAACAAAACTTTCACAAAAGAAGAGTTTTCGTAACACTGGTGGCAGCGTCGTTGATTAAAGACTTTAACATGCTTCAGCATAGGGATAAAGACTTTTGATTTTTTCATACTTTTGAGTGAATGGACTTACAAAAAAATGGAAAAAGGAATTAGAATCATTGCGTCAGACTTTTTTTCTTTGTGCTGTTTAGAAATAGGAAATATCTCCAAAGAACTAGTTAGTCATAGTGAAAATCTAAACAAGTGCATTTTAGTGATTTTTGTTGAACAAAGTGAATGAAATTTTTAGAAATGAAAAATAATGAAATCAGTGAATTAAAATCATATAATGCAAAATTACGCTGCTCCTATGTTAGACGATGACACTCAGGGTTTAGAAAGAAAGTCAGTAATATGGGACCTAAGAAATCTGCATAGATCTGCATCAGCATCACGTCTGAACAAAATTCAGAACTCACAATGGATTTACGTCAACAACTTTCCAGAAAAAATTTGATGAAAATGATGATTTACAAGCTAATTTAACTTAATGCAATTGGCAAATATTTGAGAAATTATTTGAAAACTGTCAATATTTTTTACAAACCGAAAAAGTTGGATTACAAGAAATTTAGAAAGTGAAAATGAACAATTTCGAAGAGATAAGGAAAATTTTAACAGTCTATATCATACACATCATGAAATAGAGACAGACAAATCAAAGCATTGACAAATGAAATTGATGAATTACAAAATATTTTACAATCAAGAGATTGTTGAACTTAGTCGCCTGCAGAACATTGCATTACGAGAAAGTAACCAAAGAAATTCTCGGGATTTATAATGTTCCACTTACCAAACCAGGTTCTTTTTTTTTCTGATGGTAAAACATCATACACCGCATTCATACGTCAATTTGCTGTGTTGGCTGAAACATGCCAATGGAGTGATAAAGAGAGGGCATTTCGCTTGCTTGAATAGTCTGAGGGACGATGCAGCAGAGTTTGTATTTCAACCAGGTCAGTCCTGAAACTCAACAATCTTACACACAGCTTGAGGCAATGTCTAGCAGCAAGATTTGTAGAAAGACGTTCTACTGCCTCTTATCTGATGGAGCTCGAAAATGTCAAGCTTCACTCAAGGGAAAAAAACTCGTGGAGTATGTTGCAGATATTAAAAGCGTCTGGTTTCGAAAGGGCTACCCAACTGCAGATGATCATTACTATTGGTACAAATTTGTTTACGGCATTTTATTTAGAGGTCTGGGTGACTCCCAGATGGCTCTGGCTATAGGGATGAAGGATCCGACAGTATCGAAAAATGCACGCGAGATTCTGGAGACGTACTATACGTTTGAAGGATGAAAGTAAGGCAAACACCAAAGTTCGAATGGTTCGTCAAGGGAACAACAATGTTCTCAAGAGCAGTTTTTGTCTTTCAAGAAAGAAATAGATAAAAAATTTGATGAGATTCTGTCTGTCATTAAAAAAAGCAAGATATGCAGCCAGAAAAAATTCAAAAGAAGGGATTTATCTACCGTTGAGTGTTATAAGTGTCATAATCTAGGTCATTATGCATGTGATTGCACGAGTCAGCAGAGTGATAAAAATAAAGCGGAAAACTAGGTGGACTAAGGCAGACGGCCTTGCGTTAGTCCAAAATATAGTGAAAAAGTGATAAAAAATCATTTTAATGATACCTGCAATGGATTATCTTTGTTATTACCTGTTGAAATTTGGTGATATCAGTGCAAATTAGTAGTAGATACTGGAGCAGTTGTTACTATTGTTTCTTCTAATATCTATCATAGTGTTTGCCTTCTGATATTCGTCCACTTTGGAAAAAATTTTGCCCCAAATTTTTTAAGTTTTGATTTTAAAATAAAGGGTATCCCCTATTTTAGTAAAACTGTGATATTTTTAAAATTCATAAGGATAATTTTTAAAGTTCAATTTTTAAATTGCACCAATTCAAGAAGAGGCTTTTGGGTCTTGATTTTTCAAAAAAATAATTTTTTTTTAAGGCAGAAAAGGGTTGCGCTAAAGGGAAAAAAGTATCCTACGTTATGGAATCTTCATTTTTCAAATGAGCGTTAAAAATTTCAAAGTCAGTCATTGACCACAAATAGTGGTTTAAAAATAAAAGGAAGTTTTCTGGCGGAAAAATGAACCCGAGTTTGGAAAATTTTACGCCTTTAAAAAAAGGTTAGATATGAAAAAGTTAATTGTTGGGCCCTACCGGTCAACCCCCATTTTAAAAAAGGTTGGTTCCCAATTCGTTTAAAAAATATTAGCAATGAAAATGTTAAAAATTTGAAGCTAATACTACTCTTGGAATATATGAAGAATGCTGAAAAAGTTAGTTTTTTTTGAGAAAAATGATGTTTTTGTTAATGAAAAGTTGTGACTTCAAAAGCTTTTCCATCTCATTTAAAATGAGCTTATGAAAATTCAGTGAAAAATCTTAAATTATGATCAAAGATGTGGAAACGTTAAGAATCTTTTGATTAAGATTCAAATTGTTAGTTGCAAAGTCACCAAATGATTTTCGGTCGTTACATCTGTAATAAAGCACAACATCAATTTACTGGGCAGCAAAGCCTGATTAAGCAACGCCCTAGGCCGCCCACCAAAAGCTTTTCGCAAATGAAGAAGGAGAAAATAATTAAAGATCATTTTAAGCGGCCAATGTTATTCAGGAAAGTAATTCTCCTTGGGCGTCAACCATTTAGGAAAACGTGATGGAAAACAACACGACCTTGTGTGGATTATCGGTCACTTAACAACGTAACAGAAAAAGACATTACCCCACCTAATATTAGTGATTGTTGGAAAGTTTAGGGGGATCATTATATTTTTCGTGCCTTTTATTTTTGTCAGCCTATTATCAGATTGAAGTTGATGAGGAGCTGATCGCCCAAAGACAGCCTTCACTACAAAATTCGGTTTATTTGAATATTTGTAATGCCGTTCGGATTATGTAATGCACCGTCAACCTTCCAACGATGTATGGAAATTAGTTAATGAGAGGGTCTTCAGTGGGAAATTTTGTTGATATACCTTGACGATTTGATTATTTTTTGGCCGCACATTTTGAAGAACATTTAGATAGGCTTGATACAGTTTTAACGCGTTTGTGTGAGTGTGGAATGAAACTGAAGCCAAGCAAATGTTTTTCTGTTAAAAACTTAAGTGTCATTCTTAGGACATGTAGTTAGTAAGGAGGGAAAAGCCCTCAAAGTCTAAAGTTAGTTTGTATTGCAAATTGGGAAAGGCCGTACGATTTAACAACTCTGCGATCCTTTCTTGGTTTTTGTTCATTACTACAGGATATATATTTCGTGATTTTTTCCACAAGAGCTAGGCCATTAAATAGGTTGTTGGAGGCCGGACAACCATTTGAATGGTCTGATGAATGTCAGAAAAGTTTCGACGATTTACCGCAGTGCATTGACTGGTGATGAAGTCATGGCATACCCTCAAGATGATGGATTATTCATACTTGATTGCGATGCGTCGAATTTCGGTTATAGGAGGAGTTTTGTCACAAATGCAGTTTAGTGAAAAACTTTGGAGAGTGCATCGAGAAGCCAATAGCATATGCGAGCAAAAGCTGAATAAGGCTCAAAGACGCTATTGTGTAACACGTCGGGAACTGTTGGCAGTTGTTAACTTTTGTTACTATGTTTTTAAACAGTATTTTTTAGGACGTTCGTTCTTAAGTGGAAGAAGTGATCATTCTTCATTAAGATGGATTATGTCCTTCAAAGAACCAGAAAATCAGATGGCTAGATGGCTTGAAGTGCTATCACAATATGACTTTAAGCTAGAGGCATCGCAAGGGAACTAAGCATGCAAATGCTGACTTTTTTGTCGAGGATTTCCGTGTGACCCTTGTTCGTTTACTTGTTATAGTGGTCACTCTATTCTAAGTGAGCTTCCGTGTGGAGGTTGTAAAGAATGTGTGAAAAAAGCATGAACAGTGGTCGGGAACTTGCAGATTTTGATGACGTGGTTCCATTGGTGTCTAAGAAAGTCAAGCGAGTCAGAGGAAAAGGTGTTCCTGCCGACTTAGTTTAGGGACTGTTCTGCATCAGTGCGGAATTTCTTGTTTGTTTTTGCGTTGTATCTGGGAGCGTTTCTCAGGCAAATTTGAACAGAAATTTCGTGGTTGTGAGAAATTTTTTTTCTGGTGAGAAGACTTAGGGCACCGAAAGAGAAAAGTGCGCCTAAGTCTGGATGCTGCGGATAACATTATTTAAGTGATGCCACCAAAGAGAAGGATATGGCACAGACATCACATGCAGGAGGTCTGTACCCCAAATGATGACATTTCTTCTGAAAAAAGTGTATAAGTTCTCAAATTGGGTAGGTTCGTATACCACAACTGAACTTATCTAATGATGAGGATATTCCACATCCGACAAAGCGGCAGAAAGTGACTCACACTAAAATCATTAGCCGTAATATCAGTTTGAAAAACGTTTGGAAAACATTGAAAAGAAAATTGACATATTAACACAAGAAGTAAATAAAACACAATTAATATTACAGGAAGAAATAAACAATAGTGCAGCTTGCATTCAAGACTATCAAAGAACTTTAACTTCGCACATTCAAAAAGAAATTAATTAAACATATTCAAACAGAAAAAAAAACAAGCAATGAGTGCTTTCTAAAATGTCTTACTGAACTTAACAAAAGTGTGTTGGAGATTGGTGAATTAAATTGAAGAGACAGGGAAAACTGTTTTATGGGATTTTTATCTAATTGAACAGTAGAATACTTATGTTTTATATTTTCATAAAAATCCATTATGCTTTTTGTTAATTTGTTTAGTTTTGCTTATGTTAATCTGCATAATATCATATAACACTTAGTTAGTTTTTCGCATGTATTGTTTTAAGTACCAATATTATTCTTTTATTATTATTTCAATTTCACTTAAAAGAGTTTTCAAGGTTTGTTTCAAATTTAAAAATTTAACATGTGTAAATTAATTGGTTTTGCTTCCGGAGTAAGCAAAGTCCAAAGGTGGGAGAGTGTTATGAAATTTGAACTTAATCTTTTACTAGAAGAGTATTCTTTTAGGATGGTAAATCTGGACAACATTTCTAAGCTGGTTTAAAATGTTTATGTTAACTTTTACTCATTTTTGTTGTAAAACAATTGAGTCATCAACAGTCCAGAATATTGGCACAGCTCAGTTATTTTTAGATTATGAGCATACCTCATTCCAAATTTGGAAAGGTCGCGCAGACAAGGGTCGCGCGACACTAAAGGTCGCGCAATAGGAAAGGTCGCGCAGAATCAGCTTTCCCAGGCATGCTAGTTCCAAATATGGAGAGGTCGCGCAATAAGAGGTCGCGCAGACTAAAAGTACAAGGTTTAAGTTATTTTTAGCCCTTCAGCATCTCAATTGTTGTTAACAAAAAGCATAATTTGGTCATATCAGATTTTATGAATGGGATTCCTTACTCACAGCTTTATCTATGTTACAGGTTACTTGGTTCAAATGTTGAGCTGTATGTTGTAAAGCTGGAGAGATTATATTTCTGTTGTTTAATGAATTATCAGTCAGTATTATAAGTTTATAGAAATGTCAATCAGTAGTAAATGTATTGGTCTTATAAGCCATATATAGTACATATATCTTTATTACTGCAAGTATATTTTGCACTATTAAGATGCATTATTGGACAGATAATTATTATCCTATTGAGTGTTCAAACATGTAAATTTATATAACTATTATGTATTTTTTACTAATGTTTGTATTGTACAACAGTCTGTATACCTGAACCAGTTGCAGGCCATTTTGAACATTGTTAAGGCATTGTCAGCATTTTAAAAGGTCGCGCAACATTCAGGTCGCGCAATGAGTTGTGTGTAAAACTGGAGAGGTCGCGCAATAAGAGGTCGCGCAACAGTCTACTTTTGCACACCACCCTAGCTGCGCAAACAGAAGGGTATATAAGCTGGGAACTTTTTCTAGCTGGGTTGGTTTTGGAGTTTTTGAGGAGTTTTGGAGTTTTTGAGGAGTTTTGGAGTGAGTTGGAGTTGGTTGAGTTGAGTTAGTTAGTAATTGCAGAAATGTATTTGTTGAAGTTGTTAAGGATTTTACTTTGGTTTTGACTGTTGATAGAGAATAAAATGATGCATTATTTTGATTTACTGCAATAAATATAATCCTGCTTTCACTTGGACTTGACTTGTTCATTTTACCAGCATAGAGAAATGGTTTACTTTTAAGCGAAAAAAGTGAATGAACAAAACTTTTTCACAAAAGAGAAGTTTTCGTAACAATATCAATCTCTTAAAACCTTTTACGAATGTGTGGCTTGAGTGGGCGGACTGTCTATAACCTTGATAATATTTAATACATTGATTTTAAACCTTGAATTATCTCTTATTTGTGAACATTGTAAGCATGATATGCAACATTTCTTGCCAATTTTATACACCTACTTAATATGGCTAACACATGCTAAACCTCTATCTTTTCTTCCAACCCCCACCAACAAGATGATTTAAAATGCCTTTTTTTTTAATTCAAACATAATGGAAAGCTATAAGTAAACTGTTAAAAACTATAAACTTCTTGCTCTTTCTGTCCATAGTTCAGAAATTATTGAATACTCCATATTTCTTAAGACAAAAAAAAAATCACGAGAAAAAAAAAAAGAAAGTGTTTCATCAATAATCATTTTTCTCCTGTTTTGACGCCCAATTTGTCAATGTTACACTGCATTTGAATTACTGGTATTAGTTTATCCTCTGACAAGCTAATAATGAATGAAGAGTTTACCAAAACAGACAAAATTACCTGATAATTGTCCCAGGCATTCTCTGAGAAGTTCCCATCATTGTTAGGGTCATCAATCTCTGACGCGACAGTACGCTCTGCTAAAAGTAAAAAAATATTACATCATTATGTAATGTAAAATGTGACAATGGTATGTTTCATTTGTAGATTTTATTTTTTGTTTGGTTTTATGTCAAACAAACATAGTAGAGGTCATGTGATGCCTTCCCAGCTTTTTTAGTACAGAAAGACCTTAGGTGCCCCTTCGTGCATTATTTCAGGCAAAATTTGGAACCTGAGTAGAGCCACCAATGTTCTGTAAGCTAGCTGGATAGATTCCTCACATGATAGAATACCGAGTCCTTGGCAAGATTCAAACCTACAGCAGTCAGAGGGCAAGTGGTTTAAAGTACAAACCATGCAATTTTTACAATTTCTCATCCCAGTCTTGCATTTTCTTTTGTATTGCACTAACAAGACATTCAATTTGTCACCTGTAAATCAAAACCATTGTTTACTACAACCAAAGTTGTTGTTAAAGAAAGGACATTAAAATCATTAAGTATCAACAAAGTGCCAATTCTGAGGTCTATGTTCTAAAATCTTTCGACCCTTCACAAGATTGAAAATTATGCCAAAGGGTACATGAACTCTACTTATTATTTTTCTCTGGGTAATAAGAGCGGTTAGTGGTTTATTATTTTGTATGGAAGTCAAAACACTACTTTTTTACATTTTACTACCTTTACTACAAATAACTTCACATTTGGGGCTACTTTCTTTATGTGATAAGCCTCAAACACGATCTAAAACAATTATTGCAACATAATAAAACTCATGTTTCCTCTTTTTAAGGACAGAAAAAAATATTCATTTCTGACACATGTGCCTTTAACACTTCTTGCTGAATTTCAGTGTTGAACGCAATATTTTTTGCTTTAAATTTGGAAAAATAAAATTTCAATAAAAGTATTATAACTATACAGCAAACAATAAAGTCTACAATCAAGGTTTGCCTGGTTCCATTCTGGAAGCATGAACAAGTAAATATATTTGCTAGCATCTTACAGGGAAAAAACAATATCAAATTACATGGAAACAAAATTCCTAAGTTAATTTACCAACAGAAAACTTCATGCAAAATTGTTCTTAAAAAGAGCTGAAAACTTAAAATAGAACCTAATTTAATACATTCATCTTCTACATGATTGACAATTTTCAGGCACAATAAAATTTTGTTTCCCAACATTTCCATCTAAATCTGTCAATTTACCAGGAAAATTTACATGATTTCAGTCCAATAGCAAATTGATGATATAAAATCAAATGTCAGTTTTATATTTCCTACTTTAAACATGCATTACTTTAAAATAAGATAAGAATTCAAATATTGCAGACACACACGTTTAAAATAAGTTCAGACTAAAGAAAAAACAAAACCAAAACAAAATAAACAAACCCAAAGAAATATACTTCTAAGCCCTTAATGCTAAAATCATAAAATTTGAAATGAGATTTTGGGCCAATTTGTGTGAAAAGTGTTGTAAAATTTTTAATTTGGAATAAAATTGATTATCTCTTGGAAACAGAGTAAGTGACACCTCTTGTGTTCTGGGTCCAGACCAACATTCAGTTATACAAAATATTTTCGGTCCATGAATGTGAAAAAACCTCAGTTAGGTCATATAAATTTGCCTTTTCATGAAGAGTCAATTTTGTCGTCAAAGAGAGTACTATGATTACTTTAACACTATGAAAATATACTAAATTCCTAACATAAAATTCAAAACTGATATTTTATGAAAACTTTGGCTTTTGTCTTTCTTCCCTTTATATAGAATGATTTATTTCCTCTGCCTTTACCCACTTAGAATGATGAGAAAATAAGAAAACTCTAGGGTAAAAACTGTCTTCCCTGATTTTCTGTAAGAGAGTTAAAATTTATTCCAAAAATAGATAGCAAAATAATCAAAATTCTATAATTTTCTTGTTACATAATTGCCTATCCTCAAAATCTCAATCTTTCAAAACAATCTTCAGCAAAAATAAATCATGAAACCTCAACATGAAAATTGAATTATGATTTTAAAGATATAACAAAACTTATCTTCTATTCTACATTGCTTTTTATTTTATTATAAGTTGCATCTACACTTAATAAGGTCATAAAGCTTCAAGCTTTTCTGCTAGAGAAAGACTTTAAATGCCTCTCATGACATAATTTTTTATGATATCAGAGGGCACCTGAAGAACCATCAACCTTCATACAAGAAAGTCAATTGAATAACTTTGTAAATTTCTGTGAAAAATTCTATAGAATGCCTTCTTTGGTAAAAAACATTGAATTTCCTGCTAATGTAATAGAGGTTCTCCAAGGTTAGTGCTTACATATAACGTTAGTGCTTACATATAACAATAAAATATGTATCAGGAGGATAATAAAGATTAAATCATTCTTACCTTGGGTATCTGTCTCCTCTTGGCTACTACCACTGGATCTGAACCTGGCATTCTGTAATGTAGATATAAGTCCACTTTTACCTGACACAGGTGTCAGAGCCTCATCATCTGATGTACATGTTTCTGTTAAAGGCACTACATTGGCGTCACCTGAGGCACTGATCTCTGAGTTAAGTTCTAATGTCTCTGAGTTTACATCATTTGACTTTGGTTCTATTTCCATATGTACAGATTCAATATAAACATTGTTTGTTGGAGTTACTATACATGAAGCACTATGCGATGATTCGGTCCCTGATGTTTTGTCATGCTGGTTAATGGGTATGGTAAGATTTAGTTTTCTTTTTGCCCCAATTTGAGATCTTTTCAGGATGGAATCTCGAGAAACTGGCCTCTGAACACATTGAGCCTTTCGTATTCGATGTCGAGAGAGTGTGGGTGATAATGATTGAGATTTCCGAGATTTGTTTGAAGGTATTTCTGAGTCGCTGAAAGCAGTCAGTTTATCAATAGCACTATCAGAATTAGATAATGGTTTCTGACCCATCACATCTGTCATTTCAATAACACTCCATGGTCGATCTTTTCTGTTTCCTTTCAATTTCGTTCTTAAAGAATTTGTATCATAAAGTTTTGGCAGTTTTGAATAGTCCCTTACATTGTTTCTCATTTCATCGGAAGTGTATTCACTGGCTATAACACTGTCCATAGTTTCCGTTCCATCTTCTTGATGACCATCTGATTCACCACTTTCTTCATCACTGGCATCACATGAACTCTCGATAGTTCCAACACCTTTATCAACCATTTCTCTTGCTCCGGAAGAGGAGGAGGATGATTCTTGTTGAGAATCTGTAGCAACATCGCCCTTATTGGCTACTGTACGCTGGGGGGAGAATGACTTATTAAAAGTATTTCCCTGCTGAACCATAATGTCTGCCTGATCAATCAGGTAACGTATATCCTCCATTTCTGGCTCCTCTTGTTTAAGAACATGTTGGATCTGGGCATTGATATCTGATTCATCACAAGTATGATCAGGATTTGTAGAAATCCATCCTTCTGTTTTATCAGTGGAACTGGTATCTACTGCAACTGTGGCATAATAATCGCCACATTTTGTCGAAGTTTTCCTTACCCTTCCACTGATGCCAGAGAAAGTTATTCCTTTGTAGCGACCATCTAATTCATCTGACTGACTTTCACTTCCATAACCAATATCACGACTGTCATGTTTTCTCATCTTGATTTGACGTAGAAATTCCCTCTCCGAGTCGCTACTTGTTGAGACAGACAGATCCTGGTAGTTTTCAGACATATCTGAGCTGGTCTTTTGCTCCGATTCACTAGCAACTGCACTATCCTTACCACTACTCTTGTCAAAATCTGATGACTGGGACAGTGAACTGCTATCCAATAAGGGTGGTGACTGGATAAAGTCACCACGGTAACCGAGACCTGGTAAGCTATCCTCACCCCCACTTGTTACATCTTGGGAGTCATAATCATCATCATCATCTTCATCAGTGTAATCTCTCAAGTGTGAAAATGGGTCCTGGTATGGTCCAGTGTTGAATATTCCCTGAAAATAGACACCAGACATAATATAACAACCTTATGTGTACGCCTATTGTGCAAATAACAATAAAACAAAAAGTTGTTTCTTTCCAGTATTACATCAAAGAGTCTGCATGCATTTTAATTATAACAAGTGTTTTCCCCCTAAGGAGGTTATCAATAATAGCTACTTTCTCATCTTTGATGACATTAAATTCAATACACAAGAAACATGACAAATAAATGCATCTGTAAATTATGACAACCATGTCAGGTCATGTGTTACAACTAACATATTGGTCATCAATCAATCTATAACCATCAATATCAACATATGTCATGACTTAAATTTAATAATGTTTCATCTTTGCATGTATTGATATATATTTTAAATTAGTAATGTCATTAATTTCCCTTTAGCAATACACCCTTAATATCTTAAGTAGACTTGACCATCTTTCAATCTGGACAAAACCATTCATCAATATTAGGGAAAAGTCAAAAAAATGTAGTAATTATTATCATTTAACCTATTTCAATTCATTAATTCATTGATATGTAAGGAACATGGGTGTTTTTCAATTCCTGTAATTTATTATCTTTATGTAAATTGCATAATAAAGTTAACGTTTAATGAAAATATTTACGACTAAAGGACAATTACTATAATTGTTTATTAATGTACAACATTTATATAAAATGGTTATAAATATATTTACAATATCTGATTTGAAGCTCGTCATTATTATCTTAAAACTCATTCAGTATGTTATACCTTCTTTTAGTAAAAACAGTAGAATCGTTTTCCATTCAAAATTTTTTCTATCGATGATATAGACCAACATGATAAAATTGTCTTTATCAATGTCATGTCTCCAAAACTATCGTTTCAATGCCATAAATTCCTTTTAGTAATACAATCACTTCACACCATTAAATTTTGTTTAAGTGAAAAAAAAAAATGAAAAAAATGCCACCAAATAAAAAACCTAAATGACTATAACTAGCTATAACTTTTTTTATATTTTGTAATAAAAAGCTGATAAAATCATTAGAAAATATAATGTTTTTAGAACAATACGACAATCCATTTTGTCAAACGCCTCAGTAAATCTGTCGAGTTCCGATTGAGTTTTATTGCATAATCAATATCCAGTAAATTAGTTAAAAACATAAACAGGTTCAATTAAAGCTTCAAAGAGGCGCTCTGGGAATTATCAGAAGAACAAAGGTTTCTGCCGGAGTTTACCGTAGCAATTATAGGGTATTTTTGCCTTATCTTTCCTTGAAATCAGACAGAAGTACTGTTAAGGGCTTCGGCATTAAATATTGACATCGTATAAAAACTGCCAACAGCTAAATTACTCAGCAAAATCACTTTACTTTGTTTAGATACGGTCTTTTGTTGGCGTCACTTTCTGAGCATCATAGTTAATATAACAGTTGTTCCTTGTAGCTAATGGGATTTAAAAATAATCTACATGGTCAAGGTCATAAAGCTACTTTATAGCTATAGAGGAGGACCCCGAATGCCACTCATTGCAATATTTCAGTAACATTTACCACTACCACACTAAATATCATAAATGAACATGCCCATCCTTCAATTTGGACAAAACCATTCCTTTTTGCATGTTCAAATTTTCAAAACATGTACTGCCTGTCATAGTGAACATCATGATCAGTTGTCATGGATGTGCCAGCTATCTTGGTATGCACTGGTTGCATAATAATAGGGTAGAGCCTGTTACTGCCATGCAGGCTATGAATTAGAGAGCAGCCATTAACATTGTAACGATCAACCTTCATCCGAGTAAGTTAACTTTGTTAATCAAGCACTGCAGGATTATTTTATTGAATAACTTCTTGTTTCGGAAAGTTACTTTGAATTTGGTACTTGAAGGTTACATAACTTTTATATTTTTTTGCTTGTCATTCCATTAAATTCCCACATAAGATAGGCCTTAATTCTCATACTAAAGTTCAACATAACAGCCTTGAAACTCAATTTTCAATAACAAGATATAACAGACTTCTTATGACATCTATATATACTAGACTAAAAGATGCAGTTTTTAAATTAAACTCAGGCTTTATCATTGAAATCACACAAAATTGCAGCCAGAGTACTTAATTCAAACATGCAATGCTATTTAAAGCTCAACAATTTCAAAATCTATTTTAAGTTCTAACATTAAAAGTATTTAAATTTGGACATTTGGTAATTAAAACATTTGACCTTTGAAGGTTTAATCAGTAGTTGTTAGTGCATCAAAAATCATATATCAATTGGTATCAAAAATTAATAAAGATGCACAGTAATAATTCTTGTTGAAAACATCACATTAAAAGATTTATTGTCTATGGAAGCAAACATGGGAAGTATTTTGAAGTGATTTGAACAGATTGAATTTCCCAGCAATTAAAAAAAAAAGAGACATTAAGCAAATACAAATCGCAAATGCATCGATTGTCATAAAACCAGTCGTCCAGAAATATCCGAGAAAAAAAACAGACCAAGAAAATTACTAGGAAAGCCATCCCTAATCAGTTCTACTTAATGGTTTAGTACAAATAAAGATAGCTTTTACAAGTCATAAATAACAGATAAGTCATATATTTTTGTTATTATTTACAAGATAAAATATATATAATACTTATTACTAGTAATAAACAAGATTAAACTCATCTTTCTTGAGATAAATTAATGGATGGCTAACCCTGAACACCCCACCCGACTTAATTTGTATATTTGGAACAGTCCATTATGTTAATGTGAAGGGGGTTTCTGTATCAAAATGCTAAAATTCAGCAACAGGTGGGTAAATATAGCAATGCTTGCCTGCACAAAATGTGCAAGCTGGCCTGACTCTAAACTGAGGTGGCATTGCTGCTAACATTGAAAAAGTTAATAATTTGAGTAGTATTCACATATTATTCAATAATTAGAACAGATAGAATATCGTACATATTTGAATATAGGTCTGTAAGTCTGATAAAGGTAACAAATATTACTGAACTTTAAAGTACATTTAGTCAGCAATATACAAAAGTCAAAAAAGTAATAATATTCAATATTTAAATCATTAAATCATTAAAAAAAATCAGCCTTGAAGAAAAAACAAACAACACTGACTTAAGTCTTTTTATCTAATCTGCATGTACTCTCTCCTGTATTTTACATCCTCAAATTGTTAACGTGTTTTTAATGTGTTTGTGGTGCACTTATAATAAGTTATTCTTAGACAGAACACAAAATTCCAAATACAACTTTTAACAATAGAGATAGCTAGCATATTTTCCACATCTTCAGCATTTCCATTAATGGAATATATAATGGAACAAACCAGACAAACATTTCTGTACCATCTTCATTACTTTCCTATTCCATTTTTATTGCCTATGGCCTATATCTGTCACTGCAATTTTCCTGTATTTCAGTGCTTCCAAAAATTATAAATCCGAAAATTATCACTGTGGTTACTAATAAGTTTTACCAAATAAATGCAGGAAGTATACATATTCTTTAAAAAGACAAAATATATCGAAATAACAGTATTCACTATTAACGCTTGATAAAAATCGAAAATGAAATATACTTTTAAAACACAAGGCATAGTCCTGGAGTGAACACTTCCTTTCAATCTCGGATGATTTTGAGTCGAATCTCTATTTAAACATCTTTTAGGAAAGTGACGCTACTTAAAATACAGATAATATAATTTTTTAAAGTTTTTCTAAGGGACGCTACTTAAACACACTTTATTCTGAATGCATTTCCTGAATAAGCAACACTATGCTATTGTAAAATCATAGCAGAAGGGTCTTAGGGTGAATTAAATTTAGCCATTTGTTAACGTCATTAGTTAATAAATCTGTCATTTATGTAATTCAGTCATATGATTACAACTCATTAACATTTAAATTCACACGCAAGATATTTAAATATTCTTAATAATGTAAATTTACATAACAATTTTAATGAAATTTATTTGCATGTTTCGGTATAAGCATGAAGTATTTATCACATAATCAAATATATATAGATATTTTGATAAATGAAACAACATTTCTCTAAAAATCTTTCTTAAATAAAAAATCCTTCCATTAATTATACTGGAAGTTATACCATGAGGAAGAAAATGATCTATATGTATATGCATTCAAAATAATGCTCGGAATCAATATTCTTCTTGAAATCTTCTAGAAGTTACTTTATTAACCCTTTAAACAATTGTGCCAATATGTCACACTATTATTATACAGACAGGACAACCTGCAGACTACTCTTATATAATACATATTAATAACTGTTAAATGCTCAATATTGAAATGATCCCTGAACATAATAAAACAGTTTCCATAATCAAAACATGACAAGTTTAGTACAAAAATACAGCCAACTAAAGAAAACTGTAACTTCTGAACCATATGTGAACAAATTGCTATGAAAATCTAATCCTCTTATTGTCAATCAACGTAATTTGCATATTAACAAAACTCACCCCCTTGAAAAAATAAAATATTTTCTTTTATCCATAATTACAACAAAGGCCTGAGGTTTAAACACATTTCCACATATTATTTTCCTCTCATGTTTATCAATTATACAACAGCATTTATCACTCTTTTCACTAAACATTGACTGTCACGACACACTAATAATACTACGACATTAATAATACTACGTTGTGTATTGAAGGAAATGAACTGTCCGGACACGGCCCAGGTAACACGGCAAAAAATATTGAGTCATATCAAATCATAACTTGTCACTGCCGACAGCTAACTGATAACTAAACCTGATTAATGACAGGTAGAAAAATTTCAATTTATAATAATTAACAAATCAGTAACCTCTTTTATTGGTTAAATGCCACTAAATAAAACATCAAATATGAAATGCGACATTAAAGCACAATTTTTCCAGTGAGCAATTTTTAGAATAAGTTTTTACTTTTCCTTTGTAAATGTTTTTTTTTCTTTTTTCATCTCATTTTATGTAAATAATTAAATTTTATTAATTTTTTTCTTGTTCATGTTTATTAAATTTAGACAAAAATTCACAAAGAAATAAACTGTTAAACTGAACAAGGACCATTTTCATAACATGCATACAAAAGGTCATTTTTTCCCCTATCATTTATCATAAAAATTTATAAATCAATACTTGGAAGATGCCAAAATGCATTGTTATGTTTTCTAGCTATCAAAAGAAATGCATAAAAAGCAAGTGTAATATATATTATTAATAGAAATTTGACGTAAATGTAGTATCATACTAATTGATTTGACATTTTACTGACAAGTTTGTCAGGTCGGACATATCTACATACTTATACAAAATATAAGTAGACATTCACCATTGACCATAAAGTAAAACATACAACCTGCACTGTCACCGAAAGCACTTGAACATAACAACAAATTACTGTAAATGTTGTTTGATAAAGACCCGAAAGCTTCAAGAGGACAATGATCATTGTTTCTCTGAATTTTAGACAGACTTAAAAGTTTATTTTAAAGCGGCCTTCAGCTTTTATTTCCTGTTGAAAAAACAACATTTTTTTGTGTTATTTCAGTACATTTATCTTGGAAAAGTGCATCATATCACTGTTAAACCTTCTTCAAAAATGTGTTCCGACAGCTATTTGTAATGTGTCAATTATGACGTTTGTGTCTAAAAATAAAAGATTCGGAATCGAATTGTCCGCCTTTACTAATTTGAATATAGAGAATTAGAGGTATCGAGGGGCTTCCTCATTATTTATGTATTTTATCATTGACAGATTTGTATGAAATGATTTATCTAAAAATAACATATTCAATCGTTAGAAAAGCTGAAGGCCTGCTTTAAAATAAACAGAAGTGAAGATATATCATATATAATCAGTAAAGTATAACAATTGAAAAAGACTTGCCTAATGAAAACAATGAATTAGTAGAAACAGCCATGAATAAGAAAATATTTCTATTTTAATTTTTTTTTGTTTAGTTTTTTAGCATAACTTCAGTTATTGCAGTTGTACAGTGAAGGTACATTTTCAAACATGTTTACAATTTTAGACAACAATTGTATTCCTATTGTGTTTATGACCTATCATTTTACTTTCTCAAACAAAGGCAATAAAATTAGCCAGTTATTTCTTTGTTCTGTTGTAAATACTATCATTTTAAACATGTAAAAATATCGTTTTCAATAATGAAAGATTAGAGATCATCTTATTTATGGAACTTTAAACAACTGTTACAAAAAAATCTTCTATCTTTCTGTTAGGTTTTGAGTCATAACAAACTATAAGATTCAAATTGGTTCTTTCAAACTGCAAAGCCATCATTGGTTAAATTCAAATTTTAAGTTTTTCCATCAGCCAATCAAATTCATAGCCTTTCTTCACATCTCACATTATTGTAATCTTAAATAGTGATCTATATTGACACTTATATGATGACTCTATGATCTATAAATACAACATTTTTCTATAATACATGATCATTTATTAAATTACAAATAATTTCAGAAGGAGTCATGCATTGCTACCTTGGTGTAATAAACAACAACTAAATGGCAATATAAAAACTAATTTATTTACATTTCTCTGTATTTTTAATGATAATTTACCAATATACTGTCAGTACTTTATGATATTTATAAATTTTTGATAATTTTCTTCTTTTCCTAATATATCAAGATTTCTATATGGTGGATGAGGTCAAACAGCAAAATAAAAAAGTTAATTTAACCAAGTGCTTTAGGGAAATCATCAGTAAATGTCAATTTTCTTGTCCTGATAAAACATTGAAGTGTTGTCAACTTAAGAAAATAGTGGGTTTTTTGTTGTTGATGTTGATACATAAAAGAAAACTGTTGAGATTTTGGATTGTGACTTTTGTCAAACAAAAAGTATGGTTTAGTCAACACATCAAGGTATGTTTGGAAGCAAACAAAAGAAGAAATGTTAATGTGAATGTAATGCATCATGAACAAATGTCTTTATATATAAAAATTTATAAAGAAAAACTATTCAACAATGCAGTCATAGACAAAGAACTGAGAGATTTCAAATTGATATCCAATGCAATTACATGATGAGAAGTACACTAAAATAGATCAGTGAAGAAGCCCCTAAAACAATGTTCAAAAACCATAACACATGTTTTCCCCTACAAAATTAAGAAAACTATTCCCTTGACATGCAAGTATGTAATGATAGTATTAAAATGTGGTGCAAATACCTGCATATTGTTGTTATAAACATAAACAATAATGCCTTGCATATTTAAGTGCGAAAATGTCAGTGTCTCCGGCAGAACTTTCTCAAACAAAAAGTAATCATTTAGCACCATTCATTGATGGCTGTGGAAAGAAACAGTGTAAAGATCAATAAGAAGTTTGTACAGAGTAACAATGCTGGTCAGAATTTTCCTGGAGGACAAAAAGATACTTGACCATCCTATTGATTCTTCATATTTCATATAAAAAAAATCTTGACAAAATAATTACGCATTTCTTCACAGTCTGAGGGAGCCTATCATTTTTCTCTCATAAATACATAAAAGACTCGGCTGTAATATCATCTGTAAGTATCAAAAACCAGTTACATTGTAAAACATGATGATATAACTTACATTTTGTGTCATTATAAAGAGGTCAACAACACAGAGCAGTTGTATCTCAATATAGTCTCATAGGATAAGATAAGATAGTTTTGCTATTAACCCTAAATATACATATAGCTCCTAAATATATTTTTTTGTTATTAAATAACCGTTATATAAACTGACAGTGCCCTGCTTTGAATTAGAAATTGTCCATTGTTAATTCAAGAGAATGTGAATATCACAATGTTGAAACCGAGTGCCAACAGTATAGTTCTGCCGCTATATTGAAATTAAGTCTGGTCAGAATTAAGGTACATACTGGCACAGATGTGCAAGCTGGCATGGCTTTTTTACTGGTTGCATAATGGCTAGTAAATTTCGGTTTCGGCATAGTTATGCCACACAGCACAGCATGTAAAAAGTTGTAACTCTTTATTCGTTGTGATATTAAGTAAAGCAAGTAACTCATGATTACCATAAATATATAAGAATGAATTAAAGGATTGAGTTTTTCAATCATGCATACTTATATATTAACAACTGTTACTTCAAGCTCCTTATCTTTCAAAAAACGAAAGGAGATTTAAGATAAAACCTATGTTACTTTCCATACATTTATGGTAACTACAATCATCTTTATAATATAGAATTCAACACAAAACTGCTGTAACTTGTATTCATCAAGCCCATATAGTTAAGTCAATCTTGCCTTGAATATTTAAAACACAAAAGGGTAACAGATGTTACAGTCTTATATTCATTAATTGGCTAAAACAGAAAACGTAACAGGCATTTGCTGGAGCTAAATCAATATGCATACCGGACACGTACAATAGGCGTCTTAAATCCCTGTAACTAACTTGGCCTGATATTGCATGTCTTAACAGCTTAACACCATAAGAGGTATATCCTCCGTCATGTCAATATTTCTAAACATATCCTCGACTGCATGCTGTATTAACTAAATGGTTCTGTGTACGGAATTTTGGAGGAAGAAAAAAGGAATGTCATTTACTCAAATGTCTTGTTCAAAAAACCTTGTTTTGACACAAATCAAAGAAAATTGTCTAAATCCACTACTAAACTTCCTATTATTGCGCCTTATCTTTTATTTAGGGGAAGATGGCAGAATCAATTCTGATATAAATGTGAACAGATTTAGTTAGAGTGCACAATCAATCAGTTTGTCAAATTGGCTGTCACTTGAAATATGGGGAAAACAGAAAAGATGTTGGGCTCTTTTTCCCAGAAACCCCAAGTTTTTAAATAAATGGCCCTTGAAATTACCTCTATTTCCTTATAACTGAAGTTAAAATTATTCCTTTAAAGCAAAATAATTCAATCTTTCTTCTTTTTACAAAGTCAGAAGATCTAGAATAGTATAGCAATCTGGTTAAAGAATTCTTTGTTAGAAACTTGAAATTAGACTTGTTTTAATTCGAGATATTTTTTTTCAAAATTTCAAAATGCTAATGTTATATGATCTAATTAAACAGAGTAGATCCAAGTCTTATTAGATGGACAGTAAATGCTAGTTGAGCTCTTTTTTGAGGGACGTAGCTCTATAAAATTTAAATGGTAAGTTTAATACATAACTGGAACTAACTGTGGTGTAGTGCTGATGCCATTTGAGGCAACATGGTTGTAACCAAGTAGGGCTTAAACCCACCATTCATACCATGAGAGGCTCAGAGATCTCAACCATGGCGCAACTCCCCTTTAAATGATTAAATCTTGATATTAAACACTAGAAAGTATGTTAAGTCTTTATAAAATCATATATAAATTGTAACTATGAAAATTGATACTTTTCACCACATCCTAAAAAGTCTGTCTTTGCCAGAAAGAAGGCAATTATCTGGCACATTCAGACAATCTGCCTAAATTTAGACATCTAGGCCAGTCTGTAACGATCTAAATATTTCATTAGCTTCCTTTAACTAAGTATGGTGCATCTATATTATTGATTGGTCTGGTTGGAGATTACATCCTAAAATTTAAAAACCCTTGCCAAATTTTAAATTTTAGAACAGGGAAAGGAGCCAAAATTTGGAAAAAAA